ATTTTCTCTCTCGTGGCTCCGGTCAAAAGTGAGCTATTGCTAAGAGAAGAAGCATGGCAAAGAGCATAAGAGTTACTTGTCGCAAATAAAAATCAAGGAATAAAAAACATATGGCATTACCACATTTCAGATCAAACAAGAGCAGAATCAAAACAATCAAAAATTCAGCGAAAAAGATTGTACCAACAAAATCAACTAACCATCCTACCCAAAAAGACATCAAGTTGGCTTATAGCCTTGTCGCTGATGACTTATTTGATTCCTTTCGACAAATGGAAATAGGGCAAAGTGTAAAATTAGGAGTCTTGGGTGTTTTTACCAAGTCCCAACGAAAATATGATCTTGTTGGTTTAGATGGAAAAAGACGTACTGGCTCCCGCTACAAATTTAACTTTCGACTATTTCCCAGTGCTAAAAAACAATTACAAGAATAAAAAACAACCATGGTAAAAAAAATAACAGATTTAACAGAATTTTTCCCAACTAAGTACTGAAATAAGGAAAATGCTATTTTATTGGCCAGTCTTTTGGCTTTCATGGCTTTACGTCCTAATTTTCAAAAAGAACATACCCTTATTTTGTTCGCAGTAATTTGTGTATTGCTCTATATCTATTGTGACGAAGTAAGTAATTTACCGCTAGTTAAATACACACCTTTGGTCGGAACTTTCTTCTCGGGCTTCGGAACCTTGGTTAATTTAACTGCTAAGCCGAACTAAACAAATTTATGACAACTAGCAACTTTTTCAATCGAGACAATAATCACGAGGTTCAAGTATCTAAGGAAGAACCAATTTTTACTATTAATCCGGCCTTAATTCCGCTGGTTTCCCACTTTATGTCACTGCTTCCTTCGATTATCGAACCCATTATTGGGCAAAAAATCCCTCCCGTTATAGCTGGCGGTGCTGCGGCCGAGTTTGAAAAAATCCTCCGTGCCAATGGTGATGATTTGCGAAAAGCACTGGATTTTTTAAACAAGCTTGGTGATGGGCTGTTAAAAATTGAGGATAGGGTCGGCAAAATCGAGGAAGTTCTTAACAACTCTTCGCAACAACAAGGAATAATCAACGAACGATTAACCGGCCTTGATAACAAATTTCAAAATGTTCGCTTAACTCACGAACATCGGGAAACGAAATCCTTAGAATATAAAGAACCGCCTCGCCACTTGGTTAACTTAGAAAAATAAAAATATGTTAGACACCCAATTTTTTTCCGAGATTAAGCAGTTACGACAAGAACTAAACAAAATTAATGCGAGTAGCCAACTTCTGCCTAAACTCGTTGAGGAAATGGCCAAAACTAATAATTTCTTAGCAGAATTCGGAAAAGCCATCCAAGAATGAGCCGGAAAAACTGAATCTGAGGGAAAGAATAAGTAAAATATAAGAAATATGGTAAACTATTTCAACAAAAACGGCAAAAATGGTAATGGGGGTGAGGAAGTTAAAAACAGAAAACTGAAAAAGCAACCCACCGAAAACGAGTCAGTTATTTATTCTTGAGTTACCGGAAGAGTAGCCAGCCTTGTTTATGGGGTGGCTGGAGCTTACTTGGTTTACTGAACTGGTGTTTTACCAGTTCTAACTAAGAAATTGTATCAAGAAAAGGAAAAGTTGTCCCAAAATTCGGTTTCTTCTGCCTCAAGTAATCTCTAATCCTATTAACTTTAAGAAATTCTGAGTGGAAGTTCCAGAGCGTCCTAATCCCTTGGGTGGAAAATTTTAGGTGGGTTCATAACCAGGTGAATAAAATTAGTTTATGGTTTACGGGATTGCTTACTTAAAAGAAGCCTTAAACAATTTGTATAAGGAGCACGTTGAGAAATTAATTAACCAAAAAGCTGAGGAATTTCAAGACGAACTTATGGTGAAAATTGACCGGGAATGATTAACTTTGCAACAAACAGTAACTCTTATGCTCTTTGCCATGCTTCTTCTCTTAGCAATAGCTCACTTTTGACCGGAGCCACGAGAGAGAAAAT